ATGTTTGAAACAAGGATTAAGGATTTGTATGTTTGAAATGTCGGCACTTGATTTTTGACAAGAATGTGAACCGAAATTTCAACCGTGGATCTCCATACACTTCTCCTAACATAACAAAAAGTTTTTTTTTTTTTGAAAAAGTAGGAACGAAGCCTATATACGAATTACAAGGTATACACGGTTACAGGCTCTGAATAATAATTTGCGTATGACTGACTAATAAAGATGCGTATTTATAGCTTTTATTATAGATGGGACGTTAATCAAAGCGACGGAACGGCCAAGAAATTGTAAGAAACGTACTCTTTGTTTCAAAACGATATGTCAAGTCACTTTATCTTGAATCCTATTAAATAGGTTTAATTACTTTGATAGAATGCCAACAAGAGTCATCATCGGTTGTATTAATTTAATACTTTTTTTTTAAATAAAAAGTACTCATTCAGTTTGTGTATACTAAAATCAACTAAATCAACGATTCTCAAATTGTGGTATGCATATCTCTAGGAGTCCGCGAGGAACTTTCGGCGTGTTTTCAGTTTTTAGGACTAAAAATGAGTTTTTTGCCAAAATTTTCTTCAAATTGCTAACCATGATTTTACGTTCATTGGTGCCTTTCCAAACAATGTTGTTCCATGAAAATACTTCTTCAGTCATAGTATATCTTAAATGTGAGTTTTGCAACTGGGAAAATTGGAGCTGGGCTTCTGCTTGAAAGTTTTAACTGATTAAATCAGCTTCTTTTTCGGAATTTAAGATTTCAAGTCTAGAATTGTGATAAGAAAAGTTTGCGCAGGAGTTTATTTTTGTCCATTATCTTCGAAAAAAATTACTATTAATTATATTTCTAAATGTTAAAATATGTTTCTCATTTTATTTTGTTAACTGATTAAAACCTTTTCTTATAATCTGTAATGTTCAGTCATAGAATTATTAAACGGTTTTGAGATACCTTACTTGCAAATATATTTGTATAGTAAATTAAAAACTTTCTCAGTAGGGTTTGCAGATTGTTGTAAATGTTTTTCAAAATCTAGAGGCAAAAATTTTATGTTTGGGGACTGTAAACTTTTAATCATGAACGAAGCGGTATAATCTGTAAAAAGCTTAAAAGCCACTGAATTAAAGGACTTTTTAATGTTGAATTTTAAGCTGAATCTTACAATTTTTCTCTCAAAAGGAAAGGCTCTAGGTTGATAGTGTTTGGGAATATGTTTGAGGTAATTAGTGATTTTACACTTCTGGCTGTTAAAATTGTTATACCATGAAGGTATTAGCAGAATATTATTGCTATTGTTGTGTAGCATGCGCCTTAGGCAACTTCAGCATCTGTTATATAACTGGGCATGGAGTCGAATAAACTTTGAATGGCAGTTACGGACATAGCAATCCACGCTGTTTTTGTGCTAAAATCTTCTGACTGTCGGGCCGCCATCCGCCGTGTTCTTTCTCGAAATTGACGTGAAAGTATACAGTTAGTACGGCGGGACTATACCTGTAAGACCCAATGGGGAAATTCTGGTGTCATACCCACTTCTGCCTGTACCTGGTTGGCAGTTGTATCAGTCTGCCTTAGACATTGATTAAACCTTTTCAATTAGTCTGGAAAACTTGTTGACCAAAGCAGGAGTTAAAACCCTCTGTGTTGAAAAAATTAAGACATCGTCAGCAACATGAGATCTCGTCCTGTTCTACTGAAAAGTGAGGCAAGAGGAGATCGGAATGTTTGCCACCGTCATGGGCATTAAAACCTGAACCAGTGGCTAATCAATGTACTTGAATATGCAGAGTAAAGTTAGTCATTATTGTTATATTCAGAGCTACCCCATGCGATTAATCCAAACGCTAGGTCGGTATAACGATGATAAATGCAGGCTTCCAACATTCCTTCCCTGTATTGCCACCCCCCTCCCCGCACACACAAGTATGGCAATTATGATGCTACAAATAAAAGCGGGATTCGGCAGAGATTAGGACTTAATGCCATTGAACTTGTAGGTGTGGATATTTTTTTATTGTCAGGGAAAGCCAAGGCATTTGTCGTCTAGCTGACAATCCAGGACGTTGCAGACGTCGTAACTTTGGATGGGTAACGTATCCAATCTCCTGACCTAGGATACATGATGTGGCTGTAAAATCCTTAATAGGGATGCGGATAAGATGTCTTTCGTCTCGGACATAGGTGGTTGTGTGGGTAGGTAAGTGATTGAGATTCTGCACGTTATTCTGACTGGTCCTTCTGGATGCACTGAATGCAGATTTTCATAGAATTCAATGGATCTCAATCAATGCGAACAGCAAATGCGCGATACGGTAAATAGTCTCTAACATAAAAGGCGAAATACGATTTCTGAATGAAAATTCAACATATCAGTCTTCTTTTTATATTGCATTGAGATACCATTATTCTTTCTTGCATGCCGGGAAATGCTAATCATTTTCATGTCCCAGCATGTTCAACTTTTCATACAAATTTTAGGTTTATTGTGCACTACCATCATGGTGGAGCATTTTTTAATGACCAGCAGTGTACTTTGAGCTAAGAATTTTGATTTCAAATGCTATAGATTTAGGTTTATTTGATTCTGTCAAAGCAGTCGAGGACTATTTGGCTAAGAGAGGGACGCCGGCGTGGAGGACTTTTTAAGGTAAATTGGCTCGTATACGCGTTATACAGAGGCTGTTCGCACATTTTTTAGACGATTTTGGTAAGCGGTAATAAAAAATCGTTTGCTGCAAAAGAAGTAATTGTAATTGTACTATGTTTAAGTCAAAATTATCGTCTGTGGCTTGAAAGTTTTGTTTTTATTCAAAATGGCGAATTTAACAAAGCAGTGGTTCGAAGGCTACATTTACACTCTTTCCGAAGAGAAATATGGATAAAACTTAAGAAACGAAAAAACGCAATGTGCATCGTCTTCTTCCAAAGCATATCGCTCAACGCAGGACACGTTGCAGAATTCTATATGAGAAACACTTATCCAAAGAAAAATGGAAAACAATTGTCACAATAGATGAAGCATGGTGTATTTAAATGGATTGTAACAAAAAAGAGCCATTTATTATCATAAAAGGGGGAAAAAATTAAGTACGTGGTTCAAAGAATCGAAAGAAATTTTTTCTAACGGATTCATGATTTTGCTGGTTTTTTATAATGGCAAGTTAAAAATAAGAGGAGTGAAAAAAAAAAATGTCAAGATTAACTCAAATACTATCAGGAACATATTTATCGCCAACTTTTCTGAAAGAAATACATCGCTTTACCTACAGTGCCATCAATCTGTGAGACTCCATCAGACAAAGCTCAGTCAACATCAAAATCCATTGTAAATTTCCTAAAAGAAATGGAACAAAAAACTGTATCAAGGCCATACCCTTCATGATATCCCTACTAAATCTCCGATGTGTAACCTATGGATTTTTGTGCTATCGGACTTTTAAAAACTGCATTATCCAAACGTTGTCCCAAAACCCTAACAGGACTCTGGAAAGGTGTCGGGAGGAATGGGATAGAATATCTCTTCTGCCACTTCAAAGGCATTGTTATCCTGAAATTGCGGTGTCAAAAGATAGTTCAGAATAAGGGATGTCAAATAGAACATTTAAAACACAAGAATTTTATGAATTTAGTTTTGTGAATACAATATACGTCGTCTAAAAAATGTGTGAACAGCCTCTGTACATGGGGAAAACCATGAAAACGCCCATGCAGCTGCCGTTCACGGGAATCAAATCTCAGAGGGACTATAAGTTTTCAGTGACTTTACCGTTTGGCCGGTTTGGACCCCCAAATGCAAGTAATTAAGTAATTGGTTGAAGCAACAAAATGTAGTTTCTAATATTTTTTTTTTTTTTTTTTTCTTTGATAATCTGTTTAAAACGTTATAATTTAATCTGTGACAAACTTTAAATAATTCAATATTAAAATGAAAGAATGGAGAGTAATTCGGTTGCTTAATTATTGAGTTATTAAATTTTATTAGAAATGCGCCTAGTGAGAACAATGACTACAAGTATTATGCTAGCCGTTATTTTGTTCATATTGCATATTATAATTAATAAGAAAATGCAGGGAAAGAATTTACTAAATTTGATTTACAGATCAGTAAATTTTAATAACAGATAACAAAACATTTATTGGTTATTGTGTCGTTTAATATAAGTCTTTCTCTCTGATAACAGCATGTACAATATAAAGACACCACATTTAAAGTAATATACATCTTTTTAATAAATAAACTGTGACATTTGCTGTTAATTATTAGTTTGTTGATGTAATGTCCACTAAAGCATTAAACCAGCCTGTGATATTGTTTTATTAATTTGTTGCAGTAATTGATTGATGCAATAAAATGTATGTTCCAATTTTTCGATTTTATAGAGGATTTAACAAATAAAAATAACAGGATTCGTATATTTCGCATTATAAATAGTGAAAAATGCCTTTGTTTGAGTCATCGCTGTTTAAAAGCCGCATATAAAAGAATAGAAAGTGAATGAAATGACAATGCTTATTTAAGTTTTCTTGGGTAATATCTTTGTGGTTCGCGCGGGTTTTTCAAACTCAGAAAAATGCAGAGGAGATATTGTCATTTCTTCTTTCATCTTCTGAGTTCCTTTACATCCCGGGAGCAATATTCTAAATATACAGCTTTCACCCTCACATCATTCACCGCAACCACCCAGCTCGGGAAGGTGCCCGAACTTCAGTTAGAAACCACGGACAAAATCTCGTTCTTTCCTTCGTAGATCCGTAGTTGATGGTGTACGCTGAAGATAAGCATTATGTTTAAATTACTGTTTTTATGCCTTTAATATACTGATATAGGATATGACCTTAAATGAAAGATATATTTCTTCACTGTTCTTGTTCAGATAGTCATCATAGAAATTTAAGAAAAAAAAATTTGGATAGTTATGTAACTTTGAATTCGAACATATCAATGATTACGCAAACGGGTTTATTGCTTATGAATGCTAGAAGTATGTAAATTTATTTCTCAAGGTTATATAAAATAGCTTGAAAATATATATGCATATATATGTATATACACGTCTTAGAGCTATTTAAAAATCTAACTTACAAAGAAGAAATCTTTAAAAATGAATCATGTTCATTACGAGTACTGAAGCTGTTAAACGTTGTCAAATGTTCAAAACTTCCCCAAGTGTGAGAATGAACTTTTAAGCAAGGTCTATCTTTTAAATTACGCTAAGCTGTGTGGTTTAATTACAGACTTTCTCAACGTAAATTTATTATTTTTCAAGTCAACGAGAATTGATTAATGCAGATTTTTAAAAACTGTTTGGTAATCTTTCCTTTTGTTGAAACTTCAGTGAATTTAAAGTAAGTTTTATAAACAGAATATCTTCTCGAATGGAATTAATTAGAGCAGATTTTTAAAAACTAGTTAATATTTAATTGCATTGAATTTCAATGGATGTCATCTCTCCTGAGCCTATCAGTCGCCGATTATCGTATCGACGATCAATCACACCCGCACGTGCATCCGGATCTTATAAAAGGCAAACAAGCTGCCGAAGTAAGCCACATTTTTCTTTTCCCAATTTTTTTTCCCTTCCCCCTCGATTGAGACTTTAATTCATCAAATGTATGTAATATTGGATGCAAATCTGCTAATTTTGAGAAGTAAACTGTGTAATATATGGTAAAAAGTTACTTGGGAAATGTATTTAAAACAGTTACCGGTAAATATTCTGAAAATTATTGGTCTGGATTAGGTATATAAGATTTTGGAACTTGCACGATGCTTTTTATTTGATATAATATAACAGGTTAGTAAAATCTGTAAGAAATGTAAAATATTTCTTAGAGATAATATACTTACTCACTTAATACCTATTTATTGTTTAACTGAGTATTTGTTTCTGTATTTTAATTGGACTATTTCAACAAAGGAGAAATGTGTTAATCATTATTTTCTGTCTTAGCTAGAAGCCAGTATTTCATTTATGTGTTTTTCACTTCTAATTTTTTTTTAACCGCCTACTTAATTTTGTGTTTCTGTAAACAAGCTAAATTTGCGTAAACGAACTTGAATGGTATCCTGATTGTATGACGCATACCTTATTGTGTCAGACTTTTGAATTAAGGTCAAAACCAGCCGATCAATAGATCAAATATTTTACCGTTTGCAGTTCTCATCTCAGTATATGTATATGGAATATTTTTTTTTTAATCTAATGGTGGGCAGTTTCCTATAAATGGAATAAGTTATGTAATTAATATAAATGCATAGCTCCTGCGCATTAATTTTCTCATCACCTACTTTCTCATTTAGATTCATGAGAAAATCACAAGACATTTGTATCAGATTTATAAGATTTAGCTCATTAACATCGTTAATTCAATCTACATTTATCAATATTTTTAGATTGCAACCTTGAAATTAAGCAAGAAAGGAATGATCTAGTTTACTTTCATAACAATGATAGCAAAGGGTCGCTACAAAACTAGTATAACTTCTTAATGGTATTGTGCAGCATTCGTATATTGCATTTGGTGAATTTCAAATAACCATTTTGTTTTTTCATGTTGTTAAGAGAAATAGATATATTGCATAGGATTTTAATTGCTGTTTTTATCATGTATAGTTTATATGTTTTTGTATTTATTTTATCAAAAAATAATGGTAATTTTATTTTATTTTATTTTATTTTTTTTTGTTTACTGGGGCGTTTTATGTTTATTGTGACATAGATTCAGGGCGGCGAAGCAGCCGTACACCCCGAGCTGCATTTTTCATAGGAAACCTATTATAAGAGTTAGTCATGTCAATCATTGGAACAGAAAGGCTAATCGAGATTTATTAGGTTATGAAAAACTTCGCTGCAGTTATAAGTAGCTGGATGTCTTTGCGAAGGACTCAGAAAATGGGAACTGGCTCATATTCACATTGCGAAAAAGGATTGGGTCATATTCACATTACGAAAAAGGGATTGGCTCATATTCACGTCGTGCATGCGTGAATTACAAAGTCACATACTCTACATTACACGTAAGGTATGCCAAGTCGTTGCTTAGCATTTGACCCCAGGTCTAACTACCAGTATTCAGTTATCCCCTCGGTCATTGATGAGGGAAAGAATAACGATATGCTGAGTTATGATACGAAATTGAATTAAATGGAGAATTGGTTTTACATCCTATTCAAGGAAAGTACATAGAGATTCCGATAGTTTCACATTCTTGATATGTCTTCTTTAGTCCATCGAAATTTTTAAATGGACAATGCGAGTGACAATTAAATAATAATCTTAGTGACATTAATAAGGAAGAACTCCTTATTTAAGAGAGAGAAATACTTCAGAGTTTTCGTTTTTTAATGCTTAGGAAAACGAAAACGAGAGGTAGAAGAGCATTCGCTTTGAACATTCGCAGTTTGTTCTAAAATACAATCTCCGAAACGAAATTTCAAATATTGTATTCGAATTTTCCTCATTATTGCTGCAAGTGTTAATTTTTCTGAAAGGAGTTTATATAGATACAAATCGGTTAAGAAGAATCTAAGACCAATAACTAAATATATTGCTCTTAACAGATACTGCATTATCTAGATAAGGGCAACTAACAGGAAAAAAAAAAAAAAGAAAGAAAAGAAAATAGTACTTTAAAATGTTAGAACTAAAGTTTTATGTAAAAAATTAGCAGCTTTTTATATGAAAAATTAACAGCTATTAGAGCTTTCATTTATTTCCCTATATGTCGTTTTAACATTTAATACATTGAGTATTGAGCTAGGCGGCAAAAGCTGCGTCCCTATACTTAATGAGAGTGTCTATACTTAACGGAGGACCATGGGCACCATTCTTCTACTATTGTGGTTAATCGGTTTAGCGCCTCGTCCATTATTCTCTAAGGCTGTACGTAATACTTGACACAGTACTTGACAATACTTAATACATACTTGACATGATATAATACTTGACCGTAACACAATACTGACTTAATTCTTGTTAATACTTGGCGGTAATGCCTGACATAATATTTGCTTCTAATACATATTCTTGACATAAATACTAGCTTCTAAAAAGGTCCTGAGATGTTTATGGACTAGGCACAGGTCTGTGCCTATATCTGATAGTTTGTTCATTTACCTTTGTAATTTGCCTGATTAAGTATCTTTGTTTGATCATATATTTACTAAATGCCTTCCTGTTTGTTTGAGGCATTGGGATATGCATGCCATTTGTGATAGGACAGTCCACTATATAATAGTCAAGGGCTGCCAGTGTCACCGCAGGAGCATTGGTCTGTATTTGTAATAGCATGTTTAGTATAGTAGATGGGAAAAAGGATCGTGTCCTGAAATATATCTGACAAGCATTGAATTGATATAGATCCTGTCCGTGTCCACATAGGTGATTAGGTACGACGGACAGTCTGTATTTAATGAGAAGAAAATCCATCTTATCCCATCCTTTATGTATCCTTCACAATATTTCTGGAGATATCTCGATGAAAATGGATAATATAGCTTATACAGATAACCTTTATATACTTTGCATTAAAGATTAAATTATCGAACCCCTCACCCGATTTATCCCACTGATAAGACCACTGATTGTTAATAGTTCTTTTCACATTCGATTCTTGATGAGCGGTTTCCTCCGTGTGCAATAAGAATACGAAACAGTTTCCCTTGAAGGTATTTCTGCCTTTAGCAGGTAGCACTCACGTGATCTGCCATAATCAATTAACCAACGAGTCGTTACAAAATTGAAAATTTTTTGGTTCATTTATATTCAGATCTAAAAAATTATGAAACGGTGTTAAGTTTTTGTACATAACAGCCATGTTAATCAGAATTATTGTTTATTCTGGATGCTAAAAATAATATGAAATATAAGACGTGACTAGAAGTAATAAAAAAAATATAGAACGTTCTCTTCTTAGAGGTTTAAAAATACATAGAAATTTAATATTTTGTATTCTGTTTGCGAAACGAAAATTAAAATCCATTTCTTCCTTTCCAGGTACATGTCTTTCAAAATTAAAACTTTAAAAATTGTATAACTTTAGATGTTGCAATCGTACTGGTACGTAACTAAAACATATGTGCGTGCTTTCAGCGATTAGATTTTCAAATAATGATGTTTTGCTCAGGCTTCATATTCTTGTTTATTATTGTATTTATTATGTCTTTAAAAATAAGCTAATCGCTCGTTCAAATATTTTTGTTCAAGACCTTGTAGAGAGCCATTCAACAAACCCGTAACTATGTAAATAAACTGAAATTACGTTGTGCATTATGTGGAAGCGGTATGGGAAGGGGTAGGACTACTTCCACGAGAGAATGTATTATGTATTGAATACCGATGCAGTAAGTTTTTCGTTTCTGTAATCGGCTGTACTGTTTTGTATTTTTTGCCTTTCTCAGTTTGCCACAAACCATATTCTTTACATAGTATGTCCTAAGTGTAGATTATAGCTTGTAATTGACCTAGTTTTTTTTTTTTTTTTTTTTTTTAATGCATTATTTTTCAGAGCTGCGTATTTATTAGGATTATCTCGATAAGTCTTGTCTTTGAGAAATTTTGAGAACTAATAGTCACGTGAGATGAGCTCAAATAACAAAATAACAGAAGAGTTTTGCAGTGGAATGCTTTCTGGCGTATATTAGATGCTGTCGAAGTGTATGTATTTGCTGCCTTTCCGTCGAAGGCTACCAACCTGCATGAAAATTATTAAATCCACGCACAGACAGTGCTGCAGCTTTGACGCAGCAAAATTGTTTATCATATTGCAATATTCTTTGAAGTAATTGAGCAAGTCAAATGTCCCTACTGATAATGACCTCAAGAAAAATGGTTATTGATAGACGAAGCACTCAACATTTATACTATATCAGTAGCTTAAGGTGAAGGCAAAGGAATCTGCTCACTTGAATGTAAATTTTTTCATAGTTGTCCATGGAGTAATGTAGGTATTCACAGCTCCATTCAGCTATCAGGGAGGCAATCTTCTCAGAAAATGAAGGGTTGTAGACAAAAGTAATCAAAGCTTACTTTCATTGAAAATTGGCTATTTTGATTGCAAATTCTTACAAATAATCGGTATTAAGATATACACTGAAATTGAATTTCGAAAGTTCCAATTGCGCTTGAAGAAAAGAATACGTAAAAATTTTTTAAAGTCTTCATTCAGCCATTGTGGTGTTACTATTTATTTTAAATTGTAACGTTGCGCGCCTCCAACTTGCACGCAACCAAGAGGTGACTGTGAAAACTTGTATAAAAACAGAGTCTTGTGAAGGGTTTAAGTCCCTTTTTATTCAACGTAATAAATTACAATTGCGTGCTCTTGACGCTTACAGACTGTGCCAACTCGGCAGTCAAATAAAAATAATAACCTGAAAAGAAACTAAAGACAAGATTCTAACTACGAGGCTCTCTAAAATAACTAACTCACCGCGTTTTACAATACCGCTGCTAATTCAGCAGACTTGAAGCTCACTGGAACGATTAACCACTACTTCCCGCCAAGCACATAGGCCGCAACGCGGGGTTCTTCAATTCTCGC